GGGAATAAAAGGGAGAGGCAACCTTCCTCTTGTACATTAAGGCCTTAGATTCCTGCTCACTTCATATGGTACTGGTACATTCCTCAGGGGAATGGAGATTTCCTGTCTGTTCAACACTCCACTCCACCCTACCCACAAGGACACTCCCAGAGACTACACCCAGGCCTCATAGAGTCATCATTTCACACCCAAGAGAATAAGAGGAACAACTCAAAAGGAATGAAATGGAGAGTGGCTAATATGAAAAACTTAAAAAAGTGGAAGCATCAGTACTAGTTTCCTAGGGATAGTGTAACAAAGAACCACAAGCTTTGTGACTTACAACAATGAAAATTGATTGTTACACACACAGTAGTTACAAGTCTGAAATCAAGGTGTTGGTAGAGCCATACTCCCCTGAAAACAATGTGGGGGATGATGCTTCCTTGCCTCTTCCAGCTGCTGGTGATTCCAGATGCTCCTTGGGTTGTGGCAACATAGTTCTTCCTATGTCTCTTCATATCATCTTCCCTCTAGCTATGTCTGTCTTTATGTCCAAATTTCCCCTTTTTATAAGAACCTGCAACACCTTAGTTATTTTGAATTAGGGGCCCACTCTATTCCATATAAGCTCATCTTAACTAACTATACCTACAAGGCTCTATTTCTAAATAAGGTCATATTCTGAGGTCTTGGGGGTTAGGACTCAAACACGAATTTAGAGGGACTTAACTTAACCTATAGTAGCATCTATTTTGAAGTTGGGGCTTAAACTACAAAACTTCCCATGCAACATACTTGCTACATCATTTCAGAGAATTTTAGGCTGACCTCCATTGAGGCCATCTATGTGAGGGTTGTTTCTATCATGGCTGATGATTTGATTAGAATCACCTAGTATTTGTTAAAATTAGAGCTACCCAAAGCTTCATCCTATACATTCTGAATCAGAAAGGGACTGAATGCCTCTTTGATTCTGATATGGCTAGCCCTTCAATGCCCTCAAAGTTTGAAAGCTCAGGTCTAGCCAACCATCACTGGAGGCTTGACATGCTGCCCCATTGTGACAGCCAAGTCTGAGGAGGTACCCCAGTTTCCTGCAACACCTTAGCCCCGGTGATGCCAATGGTGAGTTTTAAGCTCAGACAAGTCACTCTGGAATATTCAAGGGGAGTGCCTAGGTCTTCCCCAGATTTATCTTCATCTTTAGGCCCCATATTATTACCAACATATTGGTTCACAGAAAGGTCAGAGAAACCTGACTTCTGAGTCAGATGATTTTATTAGGTGGGAACCATATTAAACCAAATCCCCTGGGATTCATCCCCAATAATCCAATAACTTCTCTCCTTCAGAGAAGATAGGGAGGTCATTGAGAACTGGTGCCCAATCCAAGAAGGAAGGCATCAAAGATACTTTCATGATTCTGAAATGAACCTGGGAGAGCAGCTGCATGAAAGTCACAGAGAGGAAATGTCAAACAGAATTACCTCCACATCATGCCTCCTATACCATACTTCCTTCTCCAACCACTCCCCAGCAGCCCCAGAGCAGAGAAAATAATCATTATAACTGCACTCATCAGACAAGGCAGCGAAGAGCATGAGCCTTGGACTGGGCATCCAGACTGCTTAAATGCTTGCCTGTTAGAGCCTCCATCTCTTCATCAGCTCCTTAACATCATTGATCTTATTTCACAGAACACTACCTATGAACCCAGCCAAGAAAAGGGTTTTTTTTGATTTATCAAAAGAATTTAGGTTCCATGGAATCCAAGGGCAGGAAAGACTCCATCTGGCCTAATGGGAACTGGAAAGCTATTAACTGTGGCTCTGTTTTTTAAGAACTCTACAACACATCTCTTCTTATGCCTTCTCGCTTCTGTCTCCCTCTTTCTCCACCAAAAGGCTTCCCCTGTCACTACCTAAGCGTATACAGTAGTTATCATAGTTTCCCTGGTTCCCAAAACCATACAACCTTGTAGCTTAATTCCCCACTGCTCAAGAGTTCAATCCCTTAATGTTCCAATTCCTAGGAGAGGAATCCAAGTCCATCATAGGCAAGGTGACTTTACTTCCCTAATCAGCTGTGTTTGTGATGCAGATCACATAGCACAAGCCCAGGCACTTCAGCTGGCACCTCCTCAAGGGTCGTGGGTAGGCATAGTCAGCATAGAAGGGTTCTGGGGAAGGCAGGACCCAAGGCATGTGAACTAAAATAGTGATAAAAAGTCATTTTTTTAAGCATCTACTAGATAAGAGATGCTGAGCTATATGATATATGATCCTTGCTTCAAACATTTAAGGTGGTTATTGCAGATATGGCTACTGAGTTGAAGCAACTTGTCTAGGGTCACTCAGCTAGTAAGAGATGGATACAAATTCCAACTGAATTCTGCCGGTTTCCAAATGGTACCATTTCACCAACTCAGGAAAACATGAACATTAACACCATCTACTCCAACTATCCCACCAAACTATAATCAACATAAAATGAAATCACAACCTGGAAATTGCCTTGGGAAAGCTGAACAGAAGTAAATATGAAGTCTGAATGTACCTGCTGCCACCATCCCACAGTGTGGTGTTGGCTCAACAAGCGTTTCCCTAAGGACGGCAGAATATTGGTTCAGCTCTGGCTCTGTGGCCAGATGTGGCCAAGACCACAGCGGGGTCTTAGCAGCTGTCCAAGACCTCCTGAAAGAACTGCTTGTTGCTTACAATCCAGTGGTGTGACCCCACACAAACAGTATCTGAATTCTCAACCCTGAGCTGGGCACACCAAGGTGGGCAATTGTTTGAACGGGGGCAACTTCTGATTTTCACTAAGAAACCTAGCCAAGAGAGTTGGTTAATTGGGTTCAAGTTGGCTATAACAGAGCACAGACCACAATCACTGGCAACTCTCAAACATTAATGGCATCTTTTAAACCCCAAGATGAGGGTCACGCACATGGAGACTCTGCCCCACAAAGGAGGTGGGTTTATAGGGATTTCTCCACAGTTGGCTATGGTAGAAATGAAAAGGATGACTGTGAAGCAGGCCATGCTCTTTGGTGCTTATGTTGGTTCATTTTTTGTGTCAACTTGCTGGGCTACGGTGCCCAGTTGTTTGGACAAACACTAGTATTGATGTTGCTCTGAAGGTATTTTGCAGATGTGATCAACATCTATCCACGGACTTTAAGTAAAACAGATTACCCTGTCTAACATAGGTGGGATTCATCTAATCAGTGGAAGAACATCAAAACAAACTCAAAGATTTCCCAGGAACGAAGGAATTCTAGCTTATGAAATTCTGTCTGAGCTTCCAGCCTGCTGGACCACCCAACACATCTCAAGCTAGAGACTTCAATAATAATACTCATCTGAATTTCCAGCATGCCAGTCTACCCTACAGTCCCTTAAAATAAATCTCACTCATTTTCTCCTTTCTTTCTGGAGAACCCTAACTGACAGAGTCCTCAATAACTGGATCATTACTGGTAATCTGATGATAGTCCCCTCATACCGACTGAGTAGCTAAGGCAGATGGGACACTGGTCCAGACAAGGAGAGGGCTGCAATGTCCAGTGCAGGCATTATAGAGTGAGTCTCTTCCACATTCCACAGGCTCATGTCTCTCCCCCAGAACTCAGGTAGAATCAGAGAGCTCACTCAGGCTGGTATATAGACCCTTACTTCTCAATATACACACTAAGTGCATAGATCATCACCTAGATCAACTGAACTAGAACCTGCATTTTAACAAGATTTCTAGGCTATTCAAGTACACATAAAGTTTGAGAGGCATTGTAATTGAAGGCAGCCTGATTTTCCCAGAATGAGCACTGAACCCAATGTTATAGATACGGGTGGAGTTCCTGATTGGACTCCAGCCAGCTCTGAGCACTTGGGCAAAACTAATGAGGAAACAGACATGTTTAGAAAAGTACAGATCACATTAGTAGTTTTACTACGTCCAAAGCACTGAACCAGGCACAGTGTTTATAATGACACTTCCAATCTTCCCATCAAACCTATGAGGAAGGTGCTATTGATAGTTCCATTTTACAAATGGCAAAACTGAAATGCAGAGGGGTTATGGAATTTTCCCAAGGTCAAATGAATAGTTGATTCAGGATTTGAACTCAGCGGGCCTGGCTCCATAGACACATACTGCCTCTCAGATTCAAAGCACAAAGGGTCTCCCCAATGTTTCATCAGGGGTATAAGCCAAGTTCTAGCATGGGAGTAATTCTGTCTGTAGGATTCAAAGAACACTTCATAAAGAAGGTAATTTTTGAAACAGTCTTTGAATGAGAGGTAGGAGTTTGCTAGGAGTTATAACCTATGGTGACTGTTGCCATAATCAAGATGGAGCTGTTCATGCAGCCCAGTACTCCTGTGTCAATGCTGGTCCCTACATCATTCCCCAGCTTTCACCTGGTACCTGGTTTCTCCTCCTGGTGAGGGTTGTCCTTCAGAACATAGCCTTCCAAGACCCCCACACTATGTCAGGCTTCCCTCAGAATTCTGCTAACACCAACTGCTTTCCTTCATGACACCTACACCAGTGTATAATTAAACACTTATAATGGGAGACTGTCTCATTAATATCTGCCTCTCCCACTAGACTGTGACTTTCTGAAGGCAAGGACTGTACCTGTTACACATACTTGTGAATCTTGGGTCGAGCCCAGTACCCGGCACCATTCAGCACTCAGCAAGGATAGTGTGCAGCTCTCAGTGACCACCACCTCTCCTCTTGTCTTGCACAGGAGTCAGAAAACAAACTGGGACCCAAGGCAGAAAACCATCCTCCCTTGATTAATTAATGACAAACAAAAATGCTGCCAAACCTGCATATCTTGGGTTTATCCATTTCGACTCATTCCTAATTTTGAAGCCACAATGAGCACAGACAAATAGCTGTTGATCATCCTAGTGGCTGTTTGTTATACAAGGTTGCACTGTTATCCCCAAATATAAATCAAAAGAATAAGATAAATGATGTGTTGAAATTTAAAATGTAGAACATACCCCAATAAGACTGTGGTTTCTTCAGCATTCAAGATCAAGAAGGAATGAAGCTAAGTCGAATCCTTCCATGTTTAAGGGACCACAAGGCTAGTTCAAACACAGCAGTGTTGACGTAAAGGAAAATTCTTCTGAGTTATATAATAGATTCAACCAGGTTTTTTTGCAAGTAAATTCTATTTTCAACATGAAAACCTTCTTTCAGAGGCTGGTGCTGTTTTGATAAAGGACTGATTTAGTGGCAAATGAAAGGATCCTTTGCAATTCAGAGCCGTACCTCATGTGGTCTGCTCAAAGACCCATTGCAAAGTCTTCATCCCAGGCCACTTGGCTATGATGGTGTTTAAATAAAGGCATCTCTTTTCCAAATCAAGTTGCCATTTATCAAAGCTGCAATTCTTCTCCTTTGGGTCCAGTGTCATGTTCATTTACTTGTTTACCAAGTCTCAGTTGGTCATTTTTAGCCCCAGATATAAACATGTCTCCAACTCTGATTTAGGGCCAAGGATTTCTAAAAGCAAGTCAGACTTCAGAATGTTGTTCTTTCCTGTAGGAAGGGCTTATCTGATCCCATCACACACAAATTGACTTGTGAAAACAAACTCACTTGAAAACCAATAAGAAACTCGACTTTGGGACTGGTGACAGTGAAAACAAACCAGAAGGGTAGCTGTGAGTGCCACTGGCAGACATTCCCTTGATTCCCCAAATATAGCAAAGGATCTGCTAAGAGACATTCAATTCTCCTGCAATTCTGAATAGCCCAAAGCAAATGGAATTAAATCAGGGATATCCATGAAATCTCTGGGTTGATTTGAATTAAGGAATAATTAATTGACTTCAGAAAGTAGGGATTCTCTGTACAAAGGAATGATCATGTTTACAGTGGCCCTTTGAGATGTTTTGAGTTTTGTTTCCTAGTTTGCTCAGAAAAAGACAGAAATTCTAGAAAATGAGAGGGAAAATTCCTCAATGCTCATTGTTAATATCCCTGCTAAGTCTGAGACTTCTTAAGAGAAATGACTCACTTATGCTTCCGTTCAGTCATCTGCTTGCTGGCCTCATGCACCGAAGACAAGAGAAAGTTTGACATTTTCTCTGCTAGGCAAGTTCTGCTAAATATTTTTAATTCAGGGCGAGGTTATCTGTTTCTACGAAGCCAACTCTTCCTCATTCAGCACTTTTCAAAAGGCTTCCAGCCCTTAAACTTAAATTTAACCACTTAGACCAGGCATCTCACAGTGGCAGCCTACTGGCCGAATCTAGCTGGCATATGTGCGTCTGTTGGCATGAGAGCATTTTTTAAACTAGATTTCCATGTCTTTGGACACACCACCCCTTTTATTATATATGCCTGGTCCACTTCACTAATAACATTATCCACTCACTGGCTTTGGAAGACATTTGAGCTCATTACCCCTCATAAAGATGGAAATCATTCTGAAAAGCGTTATGTCCTTCCTAGTCTCCTTAACAGAATATCTAGAAAATAACATAAGTTTCTCATCAAAACTTAAGGTGATCACTGTGAAAATCAGTGATTATGCCATGCAGAAATGCCCTCATGAGTTATTTGGCTTTTATCTTGTCCTTTTCTCTCTGATTATTAATTATTTCATTTCACTGTTGCTAGTGTGACCACCACCACCATTTTACACACACACACACACAAATAAACCCACACACATACTGATTTTTTACACACACCAACACTTTCTAACCCTCCACTGTTCTGTGAGCTAAGACAAAGAAGATATTTTAAAGTAATTAGGCTCTAAGTTAGGAGATCCTTAAGGAAGATGTCTCCTTATAATAGCTAAAACTTAGTGCAAGTTCCTCATTCACGATTTTGAGTGCTCAGAAGTCATCATTGTTCACTTACATGCTCTGAAAAACAAAAAGTAAACACATGAGTCCTTTCTGATGAAAGAGTTGGCAATTAAAATTTCTGCAAATTGGATTCCCATGAAGAATCAAAAACTCACTCACCGAACCAAATCAAAATCATGGCATGTGCGCTGACCTTCAGTTCTTGGCCATCACCATTTACTATATAAAACAAACAACTAGAAGCAAACAGCCACAGATGCTACACCTTCAAGTTGATTAGGAGGCACCAAAAGCATATTTCACCCAGCACTATCCTCTGGGTCATTCTCACAAGCAGCAAGCCACTTTGCATTAACTGGACAACAATGGCCAAACCAGCTCAGCCAGTATTCTCTTCTCATTCCATACTCAAGGCCCCAAAATAGCTAGTGCAAAAGAAGAGCTGGGGCTGCCTTGCTCCCCTCATATCTAGTCAGACCCACTGCACACCCCTGGCCCAAGTGTCAATCTCTTCTCAGCTGCTTCACCACCATGACTCCAGAACTGACCTTCAGAGCCCCATCTCTCTCCCTCAGCCATCCTGGCCAAACCTTCTAACCCTCTGCTCTCATTGCATTGCTTCCATGTAGAGACACTTCAGTGTGTTTCCCTGTTAGAGAGACAGTGAAAGACCACCTTCTTCAACTTCTCTCACCTGGCCATATCTTAGCCTCACTGCAGCCCCCAGCCCTTCTGGCCACCCATGCTTATCTCTCTGCTTTCCCACCACACCATAATTATTGCCACTTCATGCCCTTCTCATGCTCTGGGCCCTTCTAGAACACCATCTCTTTTCTTTTCCATCTGTTCAGATTCCATCTTTCATGTCTCCACTCAAGAAGCCATTTTCAACCACCCATCCCTTAAGAACACTTTCATTCGATTCCTTATAGTTCCCAGTGGTTTAAGCATTTCCTTTGCTCTCTACTGTCCTGGGTATAAGCCCTGGAATAGAGCAGGGGTCTTATCTCAAACTTCTTTGGTGGCTCCTGCCTAACTTCCTTCCCTCTAAATACAAACATGCTCAATGGACACAACTGAACCTGCACATGAAGACCCAAAGAGGGGCAAGGTTTACATTTGGAGGAATTGCAGTGACTCTCCGAGAATGACACGTTGCCCTTCACATTTCGTAAGAGAAAGCAGATGTGGGCCAAGTTCCCAGATACCTACCAAAGAAAAGACAAGTCAGCTCCTCCCCTCCCTGCCACTCCAGGCTTGCCAGAGATCATTTAAAATGCACTTCGGTGTGCTCCTCTTTTCTTTGGAAAGGAAGCAAGTCCTGACATTCTGTTTTTCCATTTCATTAAGGATGAAGGTCATCCTGGGAAGGGTAAGAGTAGTTTCCAAAGAGAACTTGTGAAGGAATAGGGCTGGACTAGGGAACGCTCCCATCCCTGTCGTTAGACAGCTTCGCCCTTTGAGGAGAACAAGCCCAGCTTTCACAGTGAGTCACTTTCAGCGAGGCCTCTGCCAGGACTTGGCTCTCCCTGCTGAGGCTATACAGAAGGACTGGGTGATAGCTCAAGGTCAGACAGGGTGTCCAGACAGAACTGGCCGGAGAAGGTGGCACTAAGACAGCTGGAAGATACAGGAGTGAAGAAGGGGCTAAGGAAGATGGCCAGGAGCGGGTGTTCAATGGAAGCCTGAGAAAAGCTGAACCTGAATATCTCCCCCAGCACCTTACCTTCTCTCTGTCTATCCCATTCACACTCCTGCACAGAAATACATTCTTACTTCCTTCCCTTCTCTACTCCCCATGGAATTTCTATAAATAAACAATAAGACCCTGCCAGAGGCCCGTTACTAACTCTTGCAGTGTTCTGGCTATAAATACATAAATCCTCACACTTTTATTCACTTCGTGCTTTGCAAAACACTTTCTCATATGTAATCTCCTCCTTATTTATACATCACACACTTTAAAAGTCCAATAGGCTCCTCCTTCTCAGTACCATACACAGCACTGGGGACTTCGCTCTCCCCACCAGCTCCTGAAGCTCTTAGCCTTAAAATTACAAGCTTTAGCATGTGCGACTCAAAAAGTCTCCTATGATTTGGGTCACATATATCTTCTTTTTAATTTTTTTAATTGGAAAATAGTAATTGTATATATAGTTATATATACAATGGTAATTATATATACAATGGTAATCACCTCACATGCTTACCATTTGTTGGTGGTAAAATCATTTAAAATTTCTCTTAACAATATTGAAATATATATTATTATTAATTATAGTCACTATGCTGTGTAGAAGATCACTGGAAATTTTTCATCCTGTGGAACTAGAACTGGACACCTTGACCAACATCTCTCCGCCGCCTCCCTCAGCCTCCGGTAACCACCATTCTGCTCTCTGCTTCCATGGGATTGACTTTTTTTAAATTTCACATATAACGAGGTCATGCACTGTTTGTCTTTCTGTGCCTGGCTTATTTCACTTAGCCTCATGTCTTCCAGGTTCCTCCATATTGTCGCAAATGACAGAATTTCCTTCCTTTTTTATGGCTGAATAACATTCCATTGAGTATATATGCCATGTTTTTTTATCCATATTGGATTGTTTTCATATCTTGGCTATTGTGAATAGTGCTGCAATAAACATGAGAGTTTAGATATTTCTTCAACATACTGGTTTTTAATTCATATGGGTTTATACCCAGAAGTGGGTTTGCTTGAATATATGGTAATTCTTCTTAGTTTTTTGAGGATCCTCCTTACTATTTTCCAAAATAGCTCATTGATGTTCCCACCAACAGTGTGTGAAGGTTCTCTTTCCTCCACATTCTCACCCACACTTCACCTTTTATCTTTTTGATAATAACCATTCTAACGAGTGTAAAGTGATGTCCCATTGTGGTTTTGATTAGCATTTCCCTGATGATTAATGACGTTCAGCTTTCTTTTCATGTGCCTGATGACCATTTGTACATCTTCTTTTGGTAAATGTCTATTTAGGTTCTTTGCACATTTTAAAAATAGTGTTATTTGTTTTCTTGCTATTGAGTAGTTTGAGTTCCTTACATATTTTCAAGTCCCTTATCCAACACATGATTCATGAATATTTTCTCCCAATCTGTGGGTTGTCTCTTTACTTTGTTAATTGTTTCCTTTGCTATGCACAAGCTCTTTAATTTGATGCCATCCAATTTGTCTATTTTTACTTTTATTTCCTGTTATTTTGGCGTCACATCCAAGAAATCAGTTCCCAGACCAATGTTGTAGCATTTCCCCCCTGTGTTTTCCTTTACTGGTTTTACAGTCTTGAGTCTTACATTTAGGTCTTTAACTACATATGCCTTGAAATGTAGTCCCCAATGTCATTTGCACCTCCCTAATAATCAGAATCCACTATCTATCAGACATTTTCGCTGACCCACATACTGCTCTAAGGTCTTTACATGCATGATCTCACTTAAATTCTACAATAATCCTGAGAGGTTGATATGACTGAGGCAGTTCATAGATAAGGAAAGGGAAACTCTGCATGCCTATGCTGCACCTTCTTAACCCCTGCCCTGAGGTCTTCTTGCTATGAGGCCCTTTGCATCTAGGATTCCAGAGCATCTCCTGGGATGAGGGCTAGTCAGACATCAGGAATACCAGGAGTAATAACCACTAGAATTTCCCCAAGCCTAATGCCGTGTCTTACTTTTTGCTTCAATAGAACTTATTTTGCTGGACTCTGTACTAGGCACTATGGACAGAGCAGTAAATAAGACAGTTAGGTCCTGCCCTCATAGGGTTTACAACCTAGTTAGGAAGATGGTCTGGAAATGAGTACATGGTTAAACACGTGGACCAGTTCACCAAGAGGTTTCAAATCCACAGGCAATAAATATGATATAGATTTGACTCTTCACACTGTCCTCTACTGTGCTCTGTCAAATCACCTCCTTCCCTTTTTCCTCCCTTTTAAAATATCTCAGACACATTCCATTACTTCCTATCACTTTCAGTTATTCAAATTTAGACCAGACCACTTTAAATTCCCATTTCTTATCTAAAGTCCTCTGCTATGACTTGCTGCTGGAGGGCCTTAAATGATTGGGGTGGGGTCTGCTCTGCATTCCCCTCCCTACCTGGCTCTCTGGCTGTGGTTTGCTCTGCACTGAGGGCAGGAAGGGGAAGGGGACTTGAGCAATTCCTCCCCACCCCCACCTCTGGCTACCTGATATGTACCTCAGAGACCCTGGCTGTAGGACAACCCCTCATCCAGAAGCAGGACGCCTTAAGTGGGAGCCAGCAAGTCATTGCAGGCCCAGCACTTTCCTCAGTGTCCTTCTGACCCATGTAAATTCAGCCATCCTGCTGTGGCAAGCCTTGGGAGAGAGCCAGGCCCATCACCAGGGCTTCTCTCAGCCCTGCCTTCTTTCTCCACTCTTTCTTCCTCCTAGATGGAAAAGACAGCAGAACCGTTACCCAGGAAGATGTTCAGGCAGACAAGAAATATGCTAGTGATTCCTTTAACATGCCCCCAACTCTTCCTTGGTGTGGAGGAGGGGGAAAACTGTCCTTCCCCAACCCCTGGGTGAGTTCTATCACCAGGAATTCTGTACCTACCACAAACTGAGGACTCTGAGGATCCCAGCC